GCGGGAGCAGCACCGAGGGTTGCGAACCCGTTGCCGGTCCCGGTCCGGTACGGGGGCAACACTGAGGGTTGCGATCCGTTGCCGGACACAGAAAAAGACAAAAAGGAAAAAAAAAAAATTCACTTGAGATTGGCCATAGACCTAAATATAAAAGCTAGAGATATAACACTTTTAGAAGAAAACGTAGGAGAATATGTTCTCAATGTGGAGATAAGTAAAGATTTTTTAGACAAGATATGAAAGCGATAACCACAAAAATTTGATAAATCACACTCCACCAAAAATAAAACTTTTTCTCATTAAAAGACATTAAGAAAATGAACAGGCAAGCCAAAGGATAGGATAAAATATTCACAAACGTATGTCTGACAAATCATATCCAGAATATATAAAGAACTACTACAACTTGATAATAAAAAGACAACCCAGTTAAAAATGATGACCAAAAGACTTTAATGGAAAATTCACAAAAAAAAAAGATATATGAATGACCAATAATCACATAAAAAAGTGTTCAACATCTGTTTTAGTCAGTTTTGTGTTGCTACAACAGAAATACCTGAGACTGGGTAATTTATAAAGGAATGAGGTTTATTTGGCTTATGATTCTGGGACACCTGCATCTGGCATGGGCCTCAGACTGCTTCTATTCATGGCAGAAAGTGGCAGGCAGCTGGCAGGTACAAGCAGATCACATGGCAAGAGGAAGCAGGAGAGAGAGAAGAGGTGCCAGGGTTTTTTAAAGCAACGAGCTCTCGTGAGAACTAATAGAGTGAGAACTCACTCATTAATCCCCCCTCCTCCAGGGTGAGCATTAATCCATTCATGAGGGATCTGCCCCCATGACTCAATCAGTTTCTAACACTGCCACATTGGGGATCAAATTTCCATATGAGTTTTGGAGGGAACAACACATCCAAACTCCATCAACATCATAAGGCATCAGGGAAATGCAAATAAAACCCACAATGAGATACCACTATATACTCACTAGAATGGCTAAAATTAAAGACAGACAATACCAAATGTTGGCAAGGATGTGGAGTAGCTATAACTCTCATGAATTGCTGGTAGGGCTGCATACGGTACAACCACTTTGGAAAACTATTTGGCCATTTCTTATAAAGTTAAGTGAATACCTATTTTTTGACCCAGTAATTCCACTCCAAGATATTTAACTAAGAGAAAAATGAAAACATATGTTTACAAAACAATATATACAAGAATATTCATAGTAACTTCATTCACAATAGCACAAAACAGGAAACAACCAAAATGTCCACTGATGAACAGATAACAAATTGTAATAAATTCATACAACAGAATGCTGCTTAGCAGAACAAAGGAAGGAACTTCAAATAAACTCAAGAACATGGATGAACCACACAGATAATAAGCTGAGCAAAAGAAGCCAGAAACAAAAAAGTACATAACAAGAGATTCCATTATATAAGTTCTAAAACAGGCAAAACTAATCTAAAGTTTAACAGAAAAAATCAGAACAATTTTTTTTTCCAGTTGGTGGTAGGAGTGGGAATAAAGGAGACTGGAAAGGGATAAAAGGGAAATTGGAGCAAAGATGCAAATGTTTTAAATTGCGACAGGATGTGGATCACACAGGCATATCTGTTCGTCAAAAATGTATATCTAAGATTTGTATGCAAATTTTAATTTACATACATTGATATATATATATTTGTAAATGTATATCTAAGATTTCAATGTATGTAAATCATACATAAAAATAGTGAAAACAATAATAATAATAATAATAATAATAATTGAATGAGAGGTGGGAAGTGAGTAGAGGAATAAATAAAACAAGAATGTTGATAATTGCTGAAGCTGAGTAGTGGAAGTTTATTATCCTATTCTGTTTACCTTGTAAATGTAAGAAATTTTCCACAATAAAAAAAGACAAAAAGAAAAAAATGCAAGCAAGAATATAAAGGATGAAATAGCAAGAGAGAGATTTTGACCAAGGTATTTGCACTCTATTTCCTATCCTTTAATGGTTACAAAGGCTGAAAATTACATAAGGAAACCCCCAGTTTTGATTAATTTCTTGGCTGCCATTAACCATGAATACAAGAATGATTCAAATTAATCAGAACACATTAACTCCTTATCACTTACTAAAAATATATTTTAGATGATAATCCAAGCTACAGAAAGCATTAGAGACCTTTTAGTCAAACATTTTAATTTAAATATTAAAAACCAGGCTCCAAGATTTGATTGCTACCTACTTCTTCATTTCTCACACATTCAAATCCAAGCATGCTGTTTATGCCTCTGTGCTCTTGTCCTTTTACTGATCCCTTCCCCTGAATAACTTCCCTCTCCCTCCCCTTCTATCTGCCTCCTCTGCCCTCTCTGCCTTGCTCTTTGCCTGGAGATGATACATCTCTTTTCAAGAACCAGTTTAAGCATCACTCCTGTGCAGTCATTCATTAGTACCTATAATACTTCATTATACTTATTTATTGACACGTGTGTCATGAGCTCTTTGAGGGCATGAACCATTTCTTGGTGGAACATAATGACTCAAAAATGTCATCTTATCAAGTCAATTTTATAGATTAAGACTTCAGAGATTAACTTTGTCCTCTCATTCACACTAGAGTAGCAGAGCTGGAACCAGAACCTAAACCTGTTGAGTGTATCCACTAAAAACAGTGCCTCATAAAAGGCAAACTGGCAATCATTTGCCTAATCTTGCAGTTATAAGTTTTTATACCAAGAGACACAAAGATCATTACATTAATTTATCCCTGTCTCACCTATGTATATTTTCACCAGTGGTGGACCTTTCTGTTTGTTAAACATCAACTATTATCACGAAAAAAATCAAAAAAGACTCAAGCTTCTAACGCAAGGTATCTATAAATTATGTTTCTGAATCCTTATTCAGCACTCTGCAATCCAGCTTCTTATTTACTCAGGACTCACAATAACTAACAAATGTCAAGGTCACGGAATCAGTAAATGTTCACAAATCTATACTTACCTGTAATACAAGAAAGATCTAAAACTGCAATGATACAGAATTATGAACATATTCAAATTAATGTAAATAATATTTCTCCAAGGATTCATTAAATACCATCTAATTCTATAAATTTAAAGAAGCTTATAATAAAAAAAATAATAATAAGGTAAGAATAAAGGCACTTTACTAAACTGGAGAGGCCCCAGATTCTCCAAGGCACTGTAGAGACTTCCTGGTAAGGAAAAATGATTGTACCATGTGGTCCCTGGGAGGGGGCATATCATTAATTACATCACCACCCCAATGGCCTCTAGGACTGAGAGTAAACACAAGGCTCTTTCTTAATGTCTCATAGTGCCCACCTGTGGGCAGCCTAAAAGATATTTTAAAAAGATGGTGCTAAGAATAAAAA